CTGAGTACCCTGTTACACATGTATAACTTACCTGCGTCCCCTGAGTACCCTGTTACACCTGTCCCTGAGTACCCTGTCACACCTGTATAACTTACCTGCGTCCTCTGAGTACCCTGTTACACCTGTATAACTTACCTGCGTCCCCTGGGTACACTGTCACACCTGTCCCTGAGTACCCTGTTACACATGTATAACTTACCTGCGTCCCCTGAGTACCCTGTTACACCTGTCCCTGAGTACCCTGTCACACCTGTATAACTTACCTGCGTCCTCTGAGTACCCTGTCACACCTGTATAACTTACCTGCGTCCTCTGAGTACCATGTTACACATGTATAACTTACCTGCGTCCCCTGAGTACCCTGTCACACCTGTATAACTTACCTGCGTCCTCTGAGTACCATGTTACACATGTACAACTTACCTGCGTCCCCTGAGTACCCTGCTACACTGAGACGATATCTAGAGGCTCCATTACTTATGCGGAATAACTTGTAAGTTGCATAACGTTTTTCTCCGTTGAAATCCTCCATGTCTATCCGCAACTCGTACCAGCCCTGAGACACAATTGCGTGCAGAAACTCGTTCCCTGTAAACAGTAGTGTTACAAACCCCTGTGTCATGTACAATTGTTTTAACAAAATCGGTGGATTGAAAATTCATCTTCTCATTAGCACATATTACCGTGAGTACATGCCAGTTATTGAGTTGGAAGCCACAGCACGAGTTATCGTTCCTGGAACATTCGACTGTCTTAGGTATCATACAAGGATCGACTCTACTTCATATCACAGTAAACACATAACAACAGGGAGGACACTCCCTCGTTAACCAGTAAACATTTCCGGTTGTGTTTACATACCTTTAATGATCTCCCCTTGATCTCAGTCATTGTTGCATGCGCATGCTGACGTAGTTATTTAAAAAGATGTATTCATATCAAGTTAGATCCGAATGATCACGAAGAAAACAAACTATCAGCTTTTAATTTAGTCTTGCATGTACGTGTGTAATCTATTTTCTTTTCCCCCAAAATAGTCGTTATAGACAGGTTTAACTGTAGACCGATTGCTCTTTTATTTATTATATAAATGTTTTTTTAAGTATCTTTGTTTCTTTTAGTTCCAACTGACCTATCCAGAACTCTTTCGCAGGATCGCCAAACCCAAACATATACTCCTGCCATTTTCTCTTGAATTGTTCGGAACCGTCCATACGTCTCTGGAACGTCTACAAACACAACAGGTTCCCGTTACAAAAATGATTATTTTACCGGCAAGAAAATGACTGAAATAAATCATTTTCGAAAAATAGACATATAATTTATAAATTAATAATAAAGATGAAATTGAAAAGTCATCAGCAGTGTTCTGAGAATAACAATGCATCGGGACAAGACTGGGATTCTAACCCCGGACCTGCGGTAACAGAGCCACCTGATCAACGGTATTCCCCTGACATACATATCGAAAAACAATGGGGCGGTTACGGTTAGAAATACTAGTGGAACTCTCTAGTGTTTGCCGGCAGAGGACATGGATCCTTAAGTGAGTTTTTTTTCTTTCTATCTCTGTCTTGGCCCTGATATAGGTAACTTACACAAATCTGGGGTCCGATTGATTAATTAGATATGAATTGTTGTGAATTCTGAAGCTGTTTACCTTAAAGTGACTGTATACAACATATCTATAGTGACTTACCAACCAGCCGCCGCCGTCAGAGGTCATATCACAATACACGACCAATCCCTGTCGTAGATCGGACGGATGGACAGTGTACAGTCCGTCCGACGTCTGACCTGCCTTGTAAAGGTCATAGCAGTCACGTGGCAGCGGCTCGGGCGCTAAAATTCAGGAAAGTAAAATATTCATAAGATTGGTAGATCGTTTGTTTTTCTAGATAATATGATCGTATATTTTATTCTGTCAATGACGATATAACACGTAATCCTGAAGTATCAGAACAGTGACAGTTGATATCGAACAGTTGGTTATCCTTGTTTGTGCCAAAGTATGCTTGTGTTACCTAGAATATGACACCAGAATTCCCAACTTAAGGTCGTGATAAATTTGATATGCGCACTTAAATTCGATATATATGTCCAGAGTATATCTTTATCCTCCAAGATGGCACCCCATTTTGATATTCAAGCCCCATATAAGTTGTATGTGCCCTGTCACTTTCCTCATATTCACGAGGTCGCGTTACAGACGATTAACACATCTAGTCCCATAAGCCAGGCTTTTCGGAACACTAGATTGTCCGCAACGTTACATCGTGATACTTTCTTACGTATCGTTTCGAATCGTTTTGTTTTTGCCTGTGTCACGATACATTAACGGTACTGAAATGATCAATTTTCTTTATTTAACTATTAAGAGTTTACTTATTGTTTTGGAATCTTTCAGTAAATGTGTGGCCCTCTGTGCCAAAGTTCTAAAAATCATACAAAATATATTTTGACAGCATTTACTATACACATGTGATTAAGTATACGACAAAACTAGAATCCTGCACTCAGCCGATATGAAGGTGACCGTGATACGTATCGTATTGTGAGGTATCGTCGCAGCCCTAGGTCCAAACATACACCCTGTAATTGATTCGGGTCCCTTTGACCGTTTTAGGACAGCCCAAGTTGTCTGACGTCACGACGCAAATACGTAATATACTATAAACCATTAATGTTAATGTTGAACCCGTCGGCCAGACACGCCATACCATTCTGTATTGTTTACGATATGACACAATGTTGAACGGGTAGCACCACAAAACAAATATTGACTATGCAAATTAGGTCTGTAAAGAGCCGGGTAATGCCACCGCTCCAGGGTATTTGCATACAATGCAATCAAATAGTTATTGTGATCGTGGCAGATAGCATTAATGCTACATTAGTAAATGTACAACCGTCGCTCTTTGAAAACGACATGTGCGTGATTCAACGCTATTTCTTGTTCCACCATCGATATTTATGGTGAATTAATGAATGCTGTGGGTTTGAAACACCATCGAAACCATGTACATTGTTCCCAGAATCGCCAACAGCTCGAGTCGCTAACACAACTCACTATAGTACACTGATGCCGTTTCCCGGTCGCCTCTCTCGTCTACCATATAGGCCTCGTTTGTCATTGTTTCTGGTGTTTCCGGTACGTAGATAAAACAAAGGTAGGAACTTCCTGTTCCTTATTGTAATTCTGACCGATCATGATGGTATACGTGTCTTTAAATCGAGATTCAGACTCACTGCAGTACACAATCGGGATCCCGAGACTCACTGCAGTACACAATCGGGATCCCGAGACTCACTGCAGTACACAATCGAGATACCGAGACTCACTGCAGTATACAATAGAGATTCCGAGACTCACTGCAGTACACAATCGCGATTCCGATACTCACTGCAGTACACAATAGAGATTCCGAGACTCACTGCAGTACACAATCGAGATTCCGAGACTCACTGCAGTATACAATCGATATTCTGAGACTCACTGCAGTACACAATCGAGATCCCGAGACTTACTGCAGTGCACAATCGAGATCCCGAGACTCACTGCAGTATACAATCGAGATTTCGAGACTCACTGCAGTACACAATCGGGATCTCGAGACTCACAGCAGTACACAATAGAGATTCTGAGACTCACTGCAGTACACAATAGAGATTCCGAGACTCACTGCAGTACACAATCGAGATCCCGAGACTCACTGCAGTACACAATCGAGATTCCGGGACCGAGACTCACTGCAGTACACAATAGAGAGACTCACTGCAGAACACAATCGGGATCTCGAGACTCACAGCAGTACACAAAAGAGATTCCGAGACTCACTGCAGTACACAATCGAGATCCCGAGACTCACTGCAGTACACAATCGAGATCCCGAGACTCACTGCAGTACACAATCGAGATCCCGAGACTCACTGCAGTACACAATCGAGATTCCGAGACTCACTGCAGTACACAATCGAGATTCCGAGACTCACTGCAGTACACAATCGAGATCCCGAGACTCACTGCAGTACACAATCGAGATCCCGAGACTCACTGCAGTACACAATCGAGATTCCGAGACTCACTGCAGTACACAATCGGGATCCCGAGTCTCACTGCAGTACTCAATCGAGATTCCGAGACTCACTGCAGTACACAATCGAGATTCCGAGACTCACTGCAGTACACAATAGAGATTCCGAGACTCACTGCAGTACACAATTGAAAAAAATATATACATAATTTATAATGACAACCATAAACAAGGTTTAATTGATAGAAACATCCCCAGAACTTCCGGTTGTTTTATGCGAATTGAACAAAGCTTGCCTTGTAAAACACGATCGAGTTATAACATTGATTATTTCAGATAAACAGAGTCCATCTACCGCGTCAGTCATGTAAAACTGTCGGGTTCATAGAAAGCATCGCATCAAGCATCCTTTTTTACCTTTCACTGTAATCAGCTAACTAGAGTTCTAGCCAAAGAGAGGCTGCGGCGGGCATGCTCAATTATTGAAGTACCACTGCTCATGAATAATATTCGCTGTGTTCCTACATACCTGCATGGTCGGTAGGATGTCAGACCGTATCGGCCATCTTGCGGAAATGTCCTTTCCGTCCCCCACACCTAGGAGATGTTTCGTCCCCCAACACCTAGGAGATGTTTCGCCCCCACACCTAGGAGATGTTTCGTCCCTAACACCTAGGCGATGTTTCGTCCCTAACCCCTAGGAGATGTTTCGTCCCTAACACCTAAGAGGTGTTTCGTCCCCACACATAGTAGATGTTTCGTCCCTAACACCTAGGAGATATTTCGTCTCCCACACCTAGGAGATGTTTCGTCCTCCACACCTAGGAGATGTCCCTAACACCTAGGCGATGTTTCGTCCCTACCATCTAGGAGATGTTTCGTCCCCCACACCTAGGAGATGTTTCGTCCCCCACACCTAGGAGATGTTTCGTCCCCCACACCTAGGAGATGTATCGTCCCTAACACCTAGGAGATGTTTCGCCCCTAACACCTAGGAGATGTTTCGTCCTTAACACCTAGGAGATGTTTCGTCCCTAACCCCTAGGAGATGTTTCGTCCCCCACACCTAGGAGATGTTTCGTCCCTAACACCTAAGAGATGTTTCGTCCCTAACACCTAGGAGATATTTCGTCTCCCACACCTTAGAGATGTTTCGTCCCCCACACCTAGGAGATATTTGGGCCCCCAACACCTAGGAGATGTTTCGCCCCCACACCTAGGAGATGTTTCGTCCCTAACACATAGGAGATGTTTCGTCCCTAACACCTAGGGGATGGTTCGTCCCCCACACCTAGGAGGTGTTTGGTCCCTAACACCTAGGAGATGTTTCGTCCCTAACATCTAGGAGATGTTACGTCCCCCACACCTAGGAGATGTTTCGTCCTCCACACCTAGGAGATGTCCCTAACACCTAGGCGATGTTTCGTCCCCCACACCTAGGAGATGTATCGTCCCTAACACCTAGGAGATGTTTCGCCCCTAACACCTAGGAGATGTTTCGTCCTTAACACCTAGGAGATGTTTCGTCCCTAACATCTAGGAGATGTTACGTCCCCCACACCTAGGAGATGTTTCGTCCTCCACACCTAGGAGATGTCCCTAACACCTAGGCGATGTTTCGTCCCTAACATCTAGGAGATGTTTCGTCCCCCACACCTAGGAGATGTTTCGTCCCTAACCCCTAGGAGATATTTCGTCTCCCACACCTAGGAGATGTTTCGTCCTCCACACCTAGGAGATGTCCCTAACACCTAGGCGATGTTTCGTCCCTACCATCTAGGAGATGTTTCGTCCCCCACACCTAGGAGATATTTGGGCCCCCAACACCTAGGAGATGTTTCGCCCCCACACCTAGGAGATGTTTCGTCCCTAACCCCTAGGAGATATTTCGTCTCCCACACCTAGGAGATGTTTCGTCCACCACACCTAGGAGATGTCCCTAACACCTAGGCGATGTTTCGTCCCTACCATCTAGGAGATGTTTCGTCCCCCACACCTAGGAGATGTATCGTCCCTAACACCTAGGAGATGTTTCGCCCCTAACACCTAGGAGATGTTTCGTCCTTAACACCTAGGAGATGTTTCGTCCCTAACACCTAGGAGATGTTTCGTCCCTAACACCTAAGAGGTGTTTCGTCCCCACACCTAGTAGATGTTTCGTCCCTAACACCTAGGAGATGTTTCGTCCCCCACACCTAGGAGATGTTTCGCGTTAGCATCTTTCTCATAAAACAGAACAAAAGTTACAATTAGCAGAAACATATCGTTTCTGCTAATCAGTCCGTCATCTTTGATGCCCGATAACAAATGATAGAGTACATGTAAAGCAAGTTTTGGAAATGAGTTACTGTGGTATTTCCCCCGATCCCAGTATACAAGTCATGACACGTTGATCAGTATGAAATGAGTTACTGTAGTATTTCCCCCGGTCCATAGTATACAAGTCATGACACATTGATCATTATGAAATGAGTTACTGCGGTATTTCCCCCGGTCCCCAGTATACAATTCATGACACGTTGATCATTATGAAATTAGTTACTGTGGTATTTCCCCCGGTCCCAAGTATACAAGTCATGACACGTTGATCAGTATGAAATGAGTTACTGTAGTATTTCCCCCGGTCCATAGTATACAAGTCATGACACATTGATCATTATGAAATAAGTTACTGTGGTATTTCACCCCGTCCCCAGTATACAAGTCATGACACGTTGATCAGTATGAAATGAGTTACTGTAGTATTTCCCCCGGTCCATAGTATACAAGTCATGACACATTGATCTTTATGAAATGAGTTACTGTGGTATTCCCCCCCGGTCCCCAGTATACAAGTCATAACATGTTGATCATTATGAAATGAGTTACCGTGGTATTTCCCTTGGTCCCTAGTATACAAGTCATGAGACATTGATCATTATGAAATGAGTTACTTTGGTATTTCCCCCGGTCCCCCGTATACAAGTCATGACACATTGATCATTATGAAATAAGTTACTGTGGTATTTCACCCCGTCCCCAGTATACAAGTCATGATACGTTGATCATTATGAAATGAGTTACCGTGGTCTTTCCCTTGGTCCCTAGTATACAAGTCATGAGACATTGATCATTATGAAATGAGTTACTTTGGTATTTCCCCCGGTCCCCCGTATACAAGTCATGACACATTGATCATTATGAAATTAGTTACTGTGGTATTTCCCCCGGTCCCTAGTATACAAGTCATGACACATTGATCTTTATGAAATGAGTTACTGTGGTATTTCCCTTGTTCCCTAGTATACAAGTCATGACACGTTGATCAGTATGAAATGAGTTACTGTAGTATTTCCCCCGGTCCATAGTATACAAGTCATGACACATTGATCTTTATGAAATGAGTTACTGTGGTATTTCCCCGGTCCCCAGTATACAAGTCATGACACATTGATCATTATGAAATTAGTTACTGTGGTATTTCCCTTGGTCCCCAGTATACAAGTCATGACACATTGATCTTTATGAAATGAGTTACTGTGGTATTTCCCCGGTCCCCAGTATACAAGTCATAACATGTTGATCATTATGAAATGAGTTACCGTGGTCTTTCCCTTGGTCCCTAGTATACAAGTCATGACACATTGATCATTATGAAATGAGTTCCTGTGGTATTTCCCCCGGTCCCTAGTATACAAGTCATGACATGTTGATCATTATGAAATGAGTTACTTTGGTATTTCCCCCGGTCCCCCGTATACAAGTCATGACACATTGATCATTATGAAATTAGTTACTGTGGTATTTCCCTTGGTCCCTAGTATACAAGTCATGAGACATTGATCATTATGAAATGAGTTACTTTGGTATTTCCCCCGGTCCCCCGTATACAAGTCATGACACATTGATCATTATGAAATTAGTTACTGTGGTATTTCCCTTGGTCCCTGATAACAAATGATAGAGTACATGTAAAGCAAGTTTTGGAAATGAGTTACTGTGGCATTTCCCCCGGTCCCCAGTATACAATTCATGACACGTTGATCATTATGAAATTAGTTACTGTGGTATTTCCCCCGGTCCCCAGTATACAAGTCATGACACGTTGATCATTATGAAATGAGTTACCGTGGTATTTCCCTTGGTCCCTAGTATACAAGTCATGACACATTGATCATTATGAAATGAGTATACAAGTCATGACACATTGATCATTATGAAATAAGTTACTGTGGTATTTCACCCCGTCCCCAGTATACAAGTCATGACACGTTGATCATTATGAAATGAGTTACTGTGGTATTTACCCCGGTCCCCAGTATACAAGTCATGACACATTGATCATTATGAAATAAGTTACTGTGGTATTTCCCCCGGTCCCCAGTATACAAGTCATGACACGTTGATCATTATGAAATTACTTCATACACTGAGGAAAGTTGTTTTGTTTAACCTATATCCCTATAAGCAATTAAGGCGTTTCCATATAAAAAGAGTATATGATTCTCGAATGTTTAGGTTAGAGAAGATGATTGCTGAAATTGTTTACAATTTGACCATTATGATTGATATGACCACTATGATTGATATGACCACTCCAATTCACAATTTTGATTTGTCTTTGGCCATGACAGCTTCATGTAACATTTTATTGAAACTTTACAATATGAATATTTACGGCGGGACGACCCTAGTCGCGTGACGATGGACAGAGGCCACCCGAGACTTTAATGTTGTCCCTGATGACTTAGTCATCTCTGAGAATCCTGTCCTTCAATTTTACTTTCAGATATATCGGCAACGTGTTGTCTGGAAACAACAAGAAATGTATTGACCGCGTCGATCAGATCTTGAAATCAATGACACTCTATGTTCTATGCCGGGCTCTATCTTCAGTAGTTAAGCCGTAAAACACGACCAATCGGCACGGATTACTAATAAGGTCGCGATAAGCGGGACAATAACGATTGTCCAATCGTCAACTTTCTGTTTCTTGACAATAACATCCCTGTGTGACTTTGATTTGATTAACATGGCGGGTGTCGTCAATGGCGCAGAGGACATTACCCTTCCGGAACGCTTGGTCTTATTTCCATTGTAGTTTTTCAAAGTTCTACGTGTAAATCTGTCATTTGTCACTGTTAATACCCTGGTTTCATAGATTTGACCTCTAATTACAGGTTTGTAATAATGAACACGGACAAACAAGCTCAGCTCTCACTATCAACAGACATTAACGTAATTACATTTTAGAGGTGTACAGTTTGACGTTTTCTGCATTAAGTATAAATTCTTTCCGTTTCTGGGGAAATTCCAAAATCTCCAAAATTACAAGAACAATCCCTCTGGATCAGGAGACGTATGTCCTGTGTCTCAATGACTCGTTACCATACGAGTGCCTTGGATACGACTCGGAGGCAAACGACGCTGTTTTAAGGAGCGACTCAACATTGACAACGTCTACAGTGAGAGGACACCATTGCACAGCTATGTGTGTCGTTACCATGTTCTGGTCGATGATTAATCAAGTTTGTTCGTAAATGCACCTGTTTACAAAGTCACCTGTTTACAAAGTCACTCGTTGTCATTTCATTTCAAATATATTTTATTAATTAAACAAAAGGATTGAGCAACAGGCGTTGCCTATATAAGCTCTCTCCGTGGCTTCCAGCATACTTTTGATAGTTGAAGAAACTCGTTGTCACTGAGGTTTCCGACGGACAGAAGAGATTCCTACACATTAAATGGGACTAACCAAAGATGATACTTTAGGTCTACTATGACCATGGTATGTCCGGTTGCTAACGTACAGATATGCCAGCTCATTTTTAATACCATAGACGGACATTTTGTGTTTATTTAACTATCGTATGTACACAAGGCGCTACGTAAAGGCTCTAGTACAAATCACGGGCACATATTTACACGGTGCGTGAGTTACAAAACAAGGTGTGATATCAAAAGAGTGTGAATGTTGATGATTAACATACCGTGAATGGGGAGCCCCACCTCTGTGTGTACCTGTTTCTGTTTACGTACCTGTGTGTGTATGCGTACCTGTATACGTGTAGAGACGGTATTGACAGAAATCAGTACTACAGTATATGTAGGATACCAGTTCTAGACACGGCTGAAGCCAAATAAATCATGTTCTACCCGACTCGTCCTAGAAACGTCTACCGATTAGTCGCACGGATCAAAATGTGATAAAAGGTGGCAACTATTTTAGATATTTTCGAATTCACAAGATTGTGCCGTGTAAACAATGGATGCGTTTGTGAATATAAGTCCACTTCCTCGCCACGGCTAGAGGGGTATAGACTGGTTTTAAACGTATCTGACCAGACCGTACGCCTGTTCGTCAGTACATGGAAATGTGGACAAGTTTCAATGTGACAGATGATGTTAAGAATATACCTCGATATATGTATAAGTGATATGTATTCATAAAGTACCGGGCACATTGCCTGTCTATCAAAAAATAGTCTTTTAAGTAATTCCTGTCTGTCCGTTCGCGCGGGGATCGGCCACTACAGGCTGTTACATTCAGCAAGCTGTCCGTATGCAGGTATAGTTTTCTGGTTTGATTGCAATTCGATCCATATTATGTTGGAAGAAAAATGTAATAAAATGACTGACTCATTTATTGATTGATTGATTGATTGATATTACGGATGAGCCTACCTTCAGTGCGGACGGGTCCGGACTGCGGGTTCTGGGTCGGCGGAGACTTGTCCAGTATAGTGACTAGTCTGTGGAGTTCCTTGACCAACTCTGACGTAGGGAACCACACGGCAGCCCCCAGTGCTGCGGCTCCGGCCAGCATGGTCAGTAACATGACGAGGTTGGAATGATTCCCACTCGAGTTGGGGGACTTGGTAGCCATCTTGGCTTCAGCGTCGCTTCCTGATTCCACTACAACCTTGGACTCGCCCATGCGTGTTCACTAACGTAGTATCCGAGCTACTGGGCCCGTATTTCTCTATCACACGCAACACTACAAGTGTACAGGTATCCTTCGGGTAAAAAGGATGATCGAGACACACCCAATCTCCAGGGGAGGCCTTATACAGCTCTATCAAATGTATTTATACTTGGGCTAAAACGCCACGTCAGAGCACTGGACTGAACAAAAGTTTAAATATCCGCCTTCTGTGTACAGCATATATACCTGCACACGTGGGCAAGTTTCCCCAAGATACCAATTATATAGTTAAAGGTAAGCGTAATTGACATGTAATGTGAGCATTGAGCCGTAACCACCAACAAGTAATGAACAATCGGATGGGATGTCAATATGATTAGTTACGGTACGTGGACAGCCTTTACCGGACACGAGAACTGGTCACTCGCGATCCGGAGCGATTGTTGGATGGCGCCTCCAGCGCCCGCTCCACAATACAATTAGACACTTTATCGGCACCGAGGTTAATGACGTAATGAGACAAGATGTTTCAGTTTCCGCATATTATCACAAGATACCGATGATCATTACATGGTATCCGCATATTATCACAGACCGACCGTTTGTTATCACAGGGTTCTCGCACATCATCACAGACCGACCGTTTGTTATCACAGGGGTCCCGCATATTATCACAGACCAACCGTTTGTTATCACAGGGTTCCCGATAAAATCATCCCAGACCGACCGTTTGTTATCACAGGGTTCCCGATAGAATCATCGCAGACCAACCGTTTGTTATCACAGGGTTCCCGATAAAATCGTCACAGACCGACCGTTTGTTATCACAGGGTTCCCGGTAAAATCATCACAGACCGACCATTTGTTATCACAGGGTTCCCGAAAAAATCATCACAGACCGACCGTTTGTTATCACAGTGTTCTCGCAAATCATCACAGACCGACCGTTTGTTATCACAGTGTTCACGCAAATCATCACAGACCGACCGTTTGTTATCACAGGGGTCCCGCATATTATCACAGACCAACCGTTTGTTATCACAGGGTTCCCTCATATTATCACAGACCAACCGTTGGTTACCACAGGGTTCCCTATAAAATCATCACAGACCGACCGTTTGTTATCACAGTGTTCACGCAAATCATCACAGACCGACCGTTTGTTATCACAGGGTTCTCGCAAATGATCACAGACCGACCGTTTGTGATCACAGGGTTCCTGATAAAATCATCACAGACCGACCGTTTGTTATCGCAGTGTTCTCGCAAATCATCACAGACCGACCGTTTGTTATCACAGTGTTCTCGCAAATCATCACAGACCGACCGTTTGTTATCGCAGTGTTCTCGCAAATCATCACAGACCGACCGTTTGTTATCACAGGGGTCCCGATAAAATCATCACAGACCGACCATTTGTTATCACAGGGTTCCCGAAAAAATCATCACAGACCGACCGTTTGTTATCACAGTGTTCCCGATAAAATCATCACAGACCGACCATTTGTTATCACAGGGTTCCCGAAAAAATCATCACAGACCGACCGTTTGTTATCACAGTGTTCACGCAAATCATCACAGACCGACCGTTTGTTATCACAGGGTTCCCGCATATTATCACAGACCAACCGTTGGTTACCACAGGGTTCCCTATAAAATCATCACAGACCGACCGTTTGTTATCACAGGGTTCCCGATAAAATCATCACAGACCGACCGTTTGTTATCACAGGGTTCCCGATAAAATCATCACAGACCGACCATTTGTTATCACAGGGTTCCCGAAAAAATCATCACAGACCGACCGTTTGTTATCACAGGGTTCCCGATAAAATCATCATAGACCGACCATTTGTTATCACAGGGTTCCCGAAAAAATCATCACAGACCGACCGTTTGTTATCACAGTGTTCCCGATAAAATCATCACAGATCGACCGTTTGTTATCACAGGGTTCCCGCATATTATCACAGACCAACCGTTGGATACCACAGAGTATCCGCATTTATTCACAGACAACATGCTTGTTATCACAGGGTACCCGCTCATTTTCACCGACTACTTGCTTATTATCGACGGGTACCCGTTTAATATAACAGGGTATTCGCTTAGTATCAAAGGGTATCTGTTTGATATCAAAGGGTATCCGTTTAATACAACAGGGTATTCGCTTAGTATCACAGACTAACCGATTATTATCACAGGGTACCCGCTTAATATCTCAGGGTATCCGCTTAATATCAAAGGGTATTCGTTTAATATCAAAGGGTATCCGTTTAATATCAAAGGATATCCGTTTAATATCACCGGGTATTCGTTAGTATCACAGACCAACCGATTGTTATTACAGGGTGCCCGCTTAATATCGAAGGGTATTCGCTTAATATCAAAGGATATACGTTTAATATTAAAGGGTATTCGCTTAGCATCCCAGACCAACCGATTGTTATCACAGGGTACCCGCTTAATATTATAGAGTATCCGCTTAATATCACAGACCAATCGTTTGTTATTACAGGCCTAGGGTACCCGTTTATTACACCGAACAGCCGTTTATTATCAAAGGGTACCCGCTTAATATCACATGGTATCCGCTTAATATCAAAGGGTATTCGTTTAATATCAAAGAGTATCTGTTTAATATCAAAGGGTATCCGATTAATATCACAGGGTATTCGCTTAGTATCACAGACCAACCGATTGTTGTCACAGGGTACCCACTTAATATCTTAGGGTATCCGCTTAATATCAAAGGGTATTCGTTAAATATCAAAGGGTATCTGTTTAATATCAAAGGGTATCCGTTTAATATCACAGGGTATTCGCTTAGTATCACAGACCAACCGATTGTTATCACAGGGTACCCACTTAATATCTCAGGGTATCCGCTTAATATCAAAGGGTATCCGTTTAATATCACAGGGTATTCGCTTATATCACAGACCAACCGATTGTTATCAAAGGGTACCCGCTTAATATCAAAGAGTACCCGCTTAAAATCTCAGGGTATCCGCTTAATATCAAAGGATATCCGTTTAATATCAAAGGGTATTTGCTTAGTATCACAGACCAACCGATTGTTATCACAGGGTACCCGCTTAATATCGAAAGGTATTCGCTTAGTATCACAGACCAACCGTTTGTTATTACAGGCCTAGGGTACCCGTTTATTACACCGAACACCCGTTTATTATCAAAGGGTTTTCGCATACAATCACAGACCACCCGTTTGTTCTCGCAGGGTACCCGCTTAATATCACAGGGTATCTGCATATTATCAAAGACCACCCGTTTGTTATCACAGGCCTAGGATACCCGTGTATTACACCGACCACCCGCTTATCATCCCAGACCACCCATTTGTTATCACAGGCCTACATTTGTAGGTTCCCGCATGTTATCGCATATAGTCACAGGACACCTAGTAAAAATGCAAACCCTGAATGTTCAGGTACGTCAATTGATGTTCAAAATATGAAATACATATACATGTCTGCAGGTGAAAATATCGTCAAATAAATTTCTATCAATGAAGTTAAACGTGTGATCTGGACTGTGACATTAAAGTGTGAATGTACACGAGAAAACTGCCTACACCACATACATGGTGTTAACAATACCGACTCTGTGTTGGTGTGAACAAGCCCTGTGTTGTGTGGAGATGTAACAAAGTAAAAACACTCAGTTCTTCCTCTTTACAAACTTAATTATAAAAATGTGAATTGAAGCTGACATCTCAAGTCAAGGAAAACCAACATTCCTTCAAAAAAAGGTATGTCCTACACCCAGGTGTAAACAGGTATGTCCTACACCCAGGTGTAAACAGGTATGTCCTACACCCAGGTGTAAAAATTCATGTCCTACACCCAGGTGTAAACAGGTATATGACCTACACCTAGGTGTAAACAGGTATGTCCTACAACCAGGTGTAAACGTGTATATCCTACACCCAGGTGTAAACAGGTATGTCCTACTCCCAGTTGTATACAGGAATGTCCTACACCCAGGTGTAAACAGGTATGTCCTACACCCAGGTGTAAACAGGTATGTGACCTACACCTAGGTGTAAACAGCTATGTCCTACACCCAGGTGTAAACAGGTATGTCCTACACCCTGGTGTAAACAGGTATGTCTAACACCCAGGTGTAAACAGGTATGTGACCTACACCCAGTGTAAATAAGTATGTGTAAACAGGTATGTCCTACACCCAGGTGTAAAAATTCATGTCCTACACCCAGGTGTAAACAGGTATGTGACCTACACCCAGGTGTAAACTGGTATGACTTACACCCTAGAGTAAACAGGTATGACCTACACCTAGGTGTAAACAGGTATGTGACCTAAACCCAGGTGTAAACTGGTATGACTTACACCCTAGAGTAAACAGGTGTGACTTACGCCCTAGAGTAAACAGGTATGACCTACCCTCAGGTGTAAACAGGTATGCGACCTACACCCAGGTGTAAACAGGTATGTCCTACACCCAGGTGTAAACAGGTATGACATACACCCAGGTGTAAACAGGTATGTCCTACACCTAGGTGTAAACAGGTATGTGACCTACACCCAGGTGTAAACAGGTATGACCTACACCTAGATGTAAACAGGTATGTGACCTACACCCAGGTGTAAACAGGTATGTGACCTACACCCAGGTGTAAACAGGTAAACAGGAGGACATCGATCAAAAACTACATACATATGCACCGTCATGTTCACAACAAAGTATCAAGTAGAGTGTTTGTATACTCGTCTAACACCATACTGACTGATTTAACTATGGTGGCGGATACTACTGTTTTACCGCCAGACGGGAATTAACTGTACTATTCTGGTATTCTTTTTCATTTGAATATTCATGCGCAGTGGTGAAGCCGATTTCCTGTCGACTTCTATGGTATGCTTTGTGGTATCTGACAACCCGCTTATACGCACAATAAGCCGCTATTGGGAAAATATTTGCATGCAGTAAAAACATATTATTGTGGTAATCCGCGGTTATGGGCTCTAGAACAAAGAGAATGACGGAGCTGTTCATGTAGCGAGTTCCAGGTACATGGAATGGCTATTACTCCAAGGCGTGGCAGTGCTGCCTGAGTTCTTCTGTAGCTCTGTTACCGGGATGCTGGAAAAGTTCTGAGATGGCAAAACAAACATTCAATACATGCATGTTTGTTTATCAAGTGACTGGTAATTTGGACCGACAGGAAAATTAAAAACGCATTGAGATCTGCACATGGAGAGAAATTATCCAAGCA